TTGTTACTACTAGTAAGGCACCTGTTACTACTAGCGATGCACTTGTTACTACTAGGAACAAGAAGCTATTAGCTTATTGTTTCTGCTAGCTTCTTGTTACTACTAGTAAGGCACTTGTTACTACTAGCGATGCACTTGTTACTACTAGGAACAAGAAGCTATTAGCTTATTGTTTCTACTAGCTTCTTGTTACTACTAGCGATGCACTTGTTACTACTAGGAACAAGAAGCTATTAGCTTATTGTTTCTACTAGCTTCTTGTTACTACTAGCGATGCACTTGTTACTACTAGGAACAAGAAGCTATTAGCTTATTGTTTCTACTAGCTTCTTGTTACTACTAGCGATGCACTTGTTACTACTAGGAACCAGAAGCTATTAGCTTATTGTTTCTACTAGCTTCTTGTTACTACTAGTAAGGCACTTGTTACTACTAGCGATGCACTTGTTACTACTAGGAACAAGAAGCTACTAGGGTCGCTTGGAGGCCATCGCGCTCCGCTCGCCGCGTCGGACCAAGAGCCCCCGGCAAGCGCCGTTGGCGTCGTCCAAGCGAAGCTCTGGCTGCGCCTGGGGACGGGGGGCCCGGCGGAATTTGACACTGACCCGAAACAGGACCTCTGTTTTGGGTAATTTTAGAGCATATTTTGAGCGGCTGGTGGTCCAAAATAGGGTCATTCAAGTTGTAGCGGCGGCTCCAAGCGATGTATGGTGCATGTAGAAGATGCGAGGAGAATCTCTCACAATACCTTTCTGGCATCTCACCGGTACTTAAAGTAGTTGCCAGCGGTTGCATAGGTCGCCTGGGTGTTTTATAGCGTCTTGCATCATGTTTTGCTGGTATTTGCAGTGTTTCTTTCTGCTTTACCTGCAGAGAGACTGGGGAGAGCGATACACACAAGATTTGGGTGTAGGGGCTCATCTGACACCAACGCAACCAACTTTTGAACGTAGATATTAGATTACAACTTACCCCTACACCCAAATCTTGTGTATGGCTCTCCCCAGTCTCTCTGCGGGTAAACCAGAAAAAACACGGCAAATACCAGCAGAAGAATGATGCACAATATTGCACAACGCTATAAAACACCCAGGCGACCTATGCAACCATAACCAAGTAGTATCCTGGTCGAATTGAAGGGGAGTCTGCAAGGTCCAGGTGTGGCTGCTCATTGATGTTTGCAAGAAGCAAAGAGAGAGAGAGAGAGAGAGAGAGGGAGAGAGAGAGGGGCAGCCATCTGCAGAAGAACACCCTGTGGTGGTGTGAAGTCGCTCGAAAGAAATGGTGCAATTCAGCGTGGAGCGCTCCAAACAGTGCAACAGACGAAGACCTACTGTAACTGTGCCTCAATCTTCGAATCTTCATATTGCCAACCACTCCTCTGACTCTTACTGGGTCACCGGGCCATCTGACTGGTGCCCAGTTGTCTCACTTTGAACTTGAAGCGGCCTGAGCCGCAGGCTCCGCCGCGCCCCCCCTTTCTCTCCGCTCGCACATTCTGCGCTGGCCCTATGAGAAAGGCGTTTTGGTCTCAGAAAAGCTAGGAAGAAATGAAAGGACAGGTAAAAAACGGTAGGGTTGGAAGAAAGGACGGGTCTTGTTCGGACGAAACGACCAAACCGAACAAAACGAACCTTACAGACGAAACACCTACAAGACTTGTGAGAACTCGAACTTGAAGCGCATGTTTTTTGCTTGGGCTTCCATGCATAAAGCGCATCAAAACCTTTTCTCCCCTCACCGAAAGCAAGAAACAGCTGTTGAAGGGCGCTCACTTTCCAAGTCTGACGTTGATCCATTGACCATTGAAGTGCTGAGTTCTTGCACCCAATTTGATGATGTCACCTTCTGTCAAGTGATGCCTGGCGGCGCAGGGCGGCGCGGCCAGTTCATCTGGTAGAACATCCTCTTAATGTAGACTTTTGATTTATAAAACGCCCCTCACCAGAATGGTGTTACATCTCCGCCCAATTTTGAGGAACGTCGACCCGATGAAATCCTCCCAAAGGGGATGAGCATCTGTATGCATCTTAATTCGTCATGGGGTGCAGTGGCGACAGACTCGCTCTATCGGCTAAGTAGCTCAAGTGGAAACAAGCGGACATTGCTATTAGGTTGGACGCCATCGCTTCTAGGCTGGAGGCCATCGCTAGTAGGTTTAGGGTGGACTCTCAGGGTGGAGGTCATCGCCATTAGTGGAAACAAGTGGCACCCTTGTCGTAGCTCAAGTGAGCCTCGGGTTTCCTCGAAGCTAGGCCCCCGACCCGAAAATCTCAAGCTGGTCAGGAAGCATCATTTCGGTGTAGCATGGTGTAGCAAGACTCGACGAAAAGCCAGTGGTTGTCTTTTGTCCCCTGATGCAAACCTCTTTTCTGTTAATGTTGGTGTATGTACTTCTTCTTGTTCCTCCTCCTCCTCTTCTTCTTCATCTTCTTTTTCTTCCAACACCAGTTCCGCTTGGCCAACACCGGCTCAGTTGGGTCACCCTGTGCTCGAGGCTCGAACAACGCGCCAAAGCCTTGGGCAACGAGTGCAGGAAGGTCACTCCAAGTCACTCAAATGGAATTCTTGTTACTAGTAGTAACAGGTGCCACTCTAGTAGTAACAGGTGCCTTACTGGTATTAACAAGAAGCTATTAGAATTAAACTTAAAGTAAATTTAATAGCTTCTTGTTACTACTAGTAAGGCACTTGTTACTAGTAGCGATGCACTTGTTCCTAGTAGCTTCTTGTTTCTATTAGCTTCTTGTTACTACTAGTAACAGGTGCCACTCTAGTAGTAACAGGTGCCTTACTGGTAGTAACAAGAAGCTATTAGAATTAAAATTAAAGTAAATTTAATAGCTTCTTGTTACTACTAGTAAGGCACTTGTTACTAGTAGCGATGCACTTGTTACTACTAGGAACAAGAAGCTATTAGCTTCTTGTTTCCATTAGCTTCTTGTTACTACTAGTAACAGGTGCCACTCTAGTAGTAACTGGTGCCTTACTGGTAGTAACAAGAAGCTATTAGAATTAAAACTAAAGTAAATTTAATAGCTTCTTGTTACTACTAGTAAGGCACTTGTT